ATTACAAAATTCATTCGGTGAGCGTGGATCGATCACGCGACCGTCAAATCTTCATTCTGACGCTCTCCCAACTGAGCATTCCCCGCTATTAATATCTTTTTGAAAGAGCATAGAATTTATCATTTAAAAAATACCAACTGGTCTTACTCCGCTGATTGCCTGATTAATAGCGGATCTATTATATAAAACGACTATTATATATAACTAGTAAGAAGAGAATAGGCCAATTCCATTAACAGAAAGAGTAGGAGACCAACATGAAAAAGTTATAGGGCTCATGCGGTGAGCGTAGATCGAACACGCGACCTTCAGATCTTTAATCTGACGCTCTCTTAACTTAGTTTTCCCCGCTATTAATATCTTTTTGAAAGAGAATAGAATTTATCATTTACAAAATACCAGTTGGTCTTATTCCGCCGATTTTCTGATTAATAGCAGAACTATTATATATAACGACTACTATATATAACCACTAAGAAGAGAATATGCCAAATTCATTAACAGGGAGAGCGAGAGACCAACGTGAAAAAAATTACAAAGTTCATGCGGTGAGCGCGGATAAAACACGCAACCTTTAGATCTTCAGTCTGACGCTCTCCCAACTGAGTTATCCCCGCTATTAATATCTTTTTGAAAGAGCATAGAATTTATCATTTACAAAATACCAGATGGTCTTGCTATACCGATTCCCCGATTAATAGTGAAGCTATTATATATAACGATTATTATATATAATAAGACGAGAATAGACTGGTATAACCACTGCCTTAGAAATGAATTCGCCCCGATGTGTGTAATCGCTCCAGTAGGCGGACTGTCCCCCGAGGTTAACACGGTAGCTCCGAATTCCGTACACCCGAAATCGGAGTGGACTGCCGGTGGTATTGCTCTTCTTATCGGAAAACACACAGAGAGAATATTTAGAAAACACTTGGAGAGTAAATTCTGAATGTTGAGAGTGAGTTGAGAAGCTGAATATAGCTCTCTATTTATAGGCTAGAAATAGGGTTAAAATAGTCCATAAAATTTCAGGATTAAATCTCTTCTTTTGTAACAGTTGAAACGTCTAGATGAACCTGACTCAAAAATAGTCCAGGTTCATTTCATCATTATTCAACTGTTATAACTCCCGAAATTATATCATGTAACCCCTGGAATTAAATCAAATAACTCCTGTAACTCCTGATATTAACAGCTTGTCTCCTCTGTACAAAGCTGGAAATCAGTCCAGATACATCTTAACGTTTTTGATTTAATTTAGGAAAAGTTGTTTAATTTCTGATAACTCTCATAAACCAGCTGTTATCATTTGAATTTAAATAGTTCTCAGTAACCTATAAATATCAGTTGAAATCTTTCACATTTTTCCATTTGTTTCTTTCAAAGAGAAATTCCTCAAGAAATTTCTCTAAAAAGATAGTATCCACGCGGACGTGTCGAAGACACATATTACCACGACCACGAGCCGAGCCGAGCCGTGTCATGCCAAGACGGACGGCGGCGGCGGCGGTGCGTCAGAGTCCCCCTTATTCTCTTTCACTCAACAAGGAAGTGGGAAATCCAAACCATAAATACCCATTCCCAATAGTTTTTCCAATACTATGTGGGATTGAGTATTACCAACAAGCACAAACATATTAACAGGGAGAGAGCGACCAACATGAAAAAATTACAAAGTCTATGCGGTGAGCGTGGAACAAACACGCGACCTTTAGATATTCATTCTGACGGTCTCCTAACTGAGTTATCCCCACTATTAATATATTTTTGAAAGAGCACATAATTTATCATTTAAAAAATACCAGCTGGTCTTGCTCCACCGATTGCCTGATTAATAGCGGAACTATTATATATAACGACTATTATATATAACCAGTAAGAAGAGAATATATCAATTCCATTAATAGGGAGAGCAAGAGACCAACTTGAAAAAATTACAAAGCTCATGCAATGAGTGTGGATCGAACACGCGACCTTTAGATCTTCAGTCTGTTGCTTTCCTAACTGAGTCATCCCCCTATTAATATCTTTTTGAAAGAGCATAGAATTTATCATTTACAAAATACATGTTGGTCTTGCTCCACCGATTCCCTGATTAATAATTACAAAGTTCATGCAGTGAGCGTGGATTGAACACACGACCTTCAGGTCTTCAGTCTAACGCTATCCCAACTAAGCTATCCTCCTATTAATATCTTTTTGAAAGAGCATAGAATTTACGAGTTACAAAATACCAATTGGTCTTCCGCCACCGATTGCTTGATTAATACTGAAACTATTATATATAACGACTATTATATATAACCAGTAAGAAGAGAATAGGCCAAATCCATTAACAGGGAGAGCAAGTGACTAACGTGAAAAAATTACAAATTTCATACGGTGAACGTGGATCGAACATGCGACCTTCAAATCTTCAGTCTGACGCTCTCCCAACTGAGCTATCCCCGCTATTAATATCATTTGAAAGAGCATAGAATTTATCAGTTACAAAATACCTATTGGTCTTCCTACACCGATTCCCTGATTAAAAGTGAATCTATTATATATAACAACTATTATATATAACTAGTAATAAGAGTATAGGCCAAATCCATTAACAGGGAGAGCGAGAGACCAACGTGAAAAAATTACAAAGTTCATACGGTGAGCGTGGATCGAACACGCAACCTTCAGATCTTCAGTATGACGCTCTCCCAACTGAGCTATCACTGCTAGTAATATATTTTTGAAAGATCATAGAATTTATCAGTTACAAAATACCAGCTGGTCTTGCTCCGCCGATTGTCTGATTAATAGTGGAACTATTATATATAACGACTATTATAATAACCATTAGAAAGAGAATAGGTCAATTCCATTAACAGGGAGAGCGAGAGACCAAGATGAAAAAATTATAAAGCTCATGCGGTGAGTGTGGATCAAACAAATGACCTTCAGATCTTCAGTCTGATGCTCTCCCAACTAAATTATCCCCGCTATTAATATATTTTTGAATGTGCATAGAATTTATCAATTACAAAATATCAATTAGTCTTGCTCCACCAATTGCCTGATTAATAGCGAAACTATTATATATAACGACTATTATATATAACCAGTAAGAAGAGTATAGGTCGAATCCATTGGCAGGAGAATGAGAGACCAACGTGAAAAAATTACAAAGTTCATACGGTGAGCGTGGATCGAACACGCAACCTTAAGATCTTTAGTCCGACGCTCTACCAACTGAGCTATCCCCACTATTAATATATTTTTAAAAGAGCATAGAATTTATCATTTACAAAATACCAGCTTGTCTTGCTCCGTCGATTACCTGATTAATAGCGGAACTATTATATATAACGACTATTATATATAACAAGAAGAAAATAGGCCAAATCCATTAACATGGAGAGCGAGAGACCATCGTGAAAAATTACAAAGTTCATGCGGTGAGCACGGGTCGAACACACGACCTTCAGATCTTCAGTCTAACGCTCACCCAACTGAGCCTTCCCCGCTATCAATATCTTTTTGAAAGAGCACATAATTTATCATTTAAAAAATACCAGCTGATCTTGCTCCACTGATTACCTGATTAATAGTGGAACTTTTATATATAACGACTATCATATATAACCAGTAAGAAGAGAATAGGTCAATTCCATTAACAGGGAGAGCGAGAGACCAACGTGAAAAATTATAAAATTCATACAGTGAGCGTGGATCAAACACGCGACCTTAAGATCTTTAGTCCGATGATGTCCCAACTGAGCTATCCACACTATTAATATCTTTTTGAAAGAACATAGAATTTATCATATACAAAATTCCAGTTGGTCTTGTTCCGTCGATTTCCTGATTAATAGCGGAACTATTATATATAACGACTATTATATATAACCAGTAAGAAGTGAATAAACTAAATCCATTAACAGGGAGAGCGAGAGACCAACGTGAAAAAATTACAAAGTTCATGCGGTGAGCGTGGATCAAACACGCGACCTTCAGATCTTCAGTCTGGCGCTCTCCCAATTGAGCTATCACTGCTATTAATATCTTTTCGAAAGAGCACATAATTTATCATTTAAAAAATACCAGTTGGTCTTGCTCCACCGATTACCTGATTAATAGCGGAACTATTATATATAACGACTATTATTTATAAACAATAAAAAGAGTATAGGCCAAATCCATTAACAGGGAGAGCGAGAGACCAACGTGAAAAATTACAAAGTTCATAAGGTGAGCATGAATCGAACACGCAACCTTCAGATCTTCAGTCTGACGCTCTCCCAACTGAGCTATCACCGCTAGTAATATCTTTTTGAAAGATCATAGAATTTATCAGTTACAAAATACCAGCTGGTCTTGCTCCGCCGATTGTCTGATTAATAGTGGAACTATTATATATAACGACTATTTTATAAAACCTGTAATAACAGAATATGTATATTTCATTAGCAGGGAGAGCGAGAGACCAACGTGAAAAAATTATAAAGTTCATGCAGTGAGCGTGAATCGAACACGCGACCTTCAGATCTTCAATCTGACGCTCTCCCAACTGAGTTATCCCCGTTATTAATATCTTTTTGAAAGAACATAGAATTATCATTTACAAAATACATGTTGGTCTTGCTCCGCCGATTGTCTAATTAACAACGAAACTATTATATATAATGACTATTATATATAACAAGTAAGAAGAGTATAGGCCAAATCCATTAACAGGGAGAGCGAGAGACTAACGTGAAAAAATTACAAAGTTCATGCTATGAGCGTGGATCGAACACACGACCTTCAGATATTCAGTCTAATGTTCTCTCATATGAGTTATCCCCATTATTAATATATTTTTGAAAGGACATATAATTTATCATTTAAAAAATACCAGCCGATCTTGCTCCGCCGATTGCCCGATTAATAGCGGAACTATTATATATAACCAATAAGAAGATCTGATCCATGGCACTGTGGAAATTTCCCGGAGCACAACAAAAAGAAAATTTCACATTCAGGCCCGTTGGTCAATGGCACTGTGCTTAGGAAGTCCGGGAAGGAACATGATGATCTTCCTATGTTCTCCTCCAAAGCCAACTTATCGAAATTATCCGGCTTGGTAGCGGCTAGAACTTCGGCTTCGGAAAACCACAAACAGAAACCTGGGGCATCGACTCTAGAAGCAGTAAACCAAGCAGGCAAGGCACGCAGATCATTTAGCGGATTAGAGTCGGCCAGAAAACAGGAAATCAGACATCATCCACCGAAGACAGCAGAATCCCCGCTGCCAGGAGATGGAAGAGCCTGCAATGGGGAATCTAGTCCGGTTAGTTTCTTGACATGTTTTCGACTTCTAATATCTGGACTAAAATTCGGCATTCATGTTTCATATGAATGAACATCTACTAACTAATGAAAACTGGTGCAGCATGGTGAAGGTCACAGCCCCAGGGGAAACAAAATGTACGTATCGGGTCCGTTGCTCGCGCCGTCTGGCAACATGGATCAGATGCTAAAAGAGCATGACCGTAAGATCCAAGAGTTTGCTCGAAGAAAAGCAAGACATGGCAAGAAAAAAGTCTATAAATAAACTTTGCAAATGCAACTACAATTTGCAGACAGCAAATTCATTATTGCTCGTCTCTGCTGGTGGTGAAGCTGGACAATATCAGCTAACATTTGAAGCCCAGAGAGATCATAATCCGATTGTTTATTGCTCCAAAATTGCAATCGATATGTATCTTATAGTTCTGTGTTTGGAAAAAAAAAGTGTGTTAAGGATTATTCGAACTATAATATATATATATATATATATATATAGATTAGAGTAGAACGGTTTGGAGAATCCATTTACAAGAGTAAGGACAATGTATCGTATTATTTTTTTCACCATACTAAGTATCATATTATAAATTAAGTCGAACTTAATCAAACGAATAAAATATTTATAAATAATATAGTCAAGTGTGTATTTTTACTGTCGGCCAAATTTGATAAAAAATTCTAAAATTTCTTTAAAAATTCCTAATTAATTTTTAAATTTGATAAAAATTCCAATTCTGTTATTGAATTTAGATTCAATTTTTACACAACGATATTACATTTTCTTTATCAAATGAAATTGTATTATATTCTTAAAATAAATGTCGCTTGAACTCATACAAATTAAAAGAATATAAACATTTTTAATTATTCGATCAATTAATAAATCTTAATAATATAACGCTTTAAACTAAACTTTAAAATTTTAATATATATATGATCTGTGATCCAATATTGAACTTTATATATTTTATAATAAGTTTTTATTATCATTTGTAATATTATAATATTAAAAATATTTAAATTTACAATTTGTACACCTAAATTAATAATAGTGGGATCAAACCTTAGATAATAAAAGATTTTATATCCAATCCATCTCATATGGCCATTGAAAGTATTTTAGTAATACCGATTTTTTTTTATAATTTTAAATATATTTACAGCCTTCTTTTACAAATTTATTTTCCTTAAATTCAATATACGTATATATATATATATATATATATATCCAGATCTTCTTTTAAAAAACTTGATATGTATGAACAGAAAAATAATGTGGGGATAGCTCCGTTCGTTAGATTGAAGATCTGAAGGTCACGTGTTTCATCCATGCTTACTGCAAGTTTTTACATTTTTTTCTTTTGCGTTGGGCTATATCTCTCTTTGTGGGTATGGGCTATTTTCTTCCACCTCTTTATGGTCTCTCACATGTTAAAGTGAAAAAATAGAAGGCGGAAGGAAACATTATTATTTAAAGGCTTAAACTAAATTGCTTTTTTTAAAATTCCTAAATTATTTTTTAGTTAAAATAAATCATTAAACTATTATATATAATGACGATTAATAGAAGAACTATTATATATAACTACGATTAATAGCAGAACTATTACATATAACGATTATTATATATAACCACTAAGAAGAGAATTGGCCAAATCCATTAACAGGGAGAGCGAGAGACCAACATGAAAAAATTACAAAGTTCATGCGGTGAGCGCGAATAAAACACGCAACCTTTAGGTTTTCAGTCTGACGCTCTCCCAACTGAGTTATCCCCGCTATTAATATATTTTTGAAAGAGCATAGAATTTATCATTTACAAAATAACAGATGGTCTTGCTCCGCCAATTACCTGGTTAATAGCGGAACTATTATATATAACGACTATTATATATAACAAGAAGAGAATAGGCCAAATCCATTAACATGGAGAGCGAGAGACCATCGTGAAAAATTACAAAGCTCATGCGATTAGCACGGATCGAACACTCGACCTTCAAATCTATAGTCTGACGCTCTCCTAACTCAGCCATCCCCGCTATTAATATCATTTTGAAAGAGCATAGAATTTAACATTTGCAAAATACCAACTGCTCTTGCTTCGTCGATTGCCTGATTAATAGTGGAACTATTATATATAACCAGTATGAACAAAATAGGCATATTTCATTAACAGGGAGAGCGAGAGACCAACGTGAAAAAATTATAAAGTTCATGCGGTGAGCGTGAATCGAACACGCAACCTTCATATCTTCAGTCTGACACTCTCCCAACTGATCTATCCATGCTATTAATATTTTTTGAAAGAACATAGAATTTATCATTTACAAAATACATGTTGGTCTTGCTCCGCCGATTGTCTGATTAATAGCGAAACTATTATATATAACGACTATTATATATAACCAGTAAGAAGAGTATAGGCCAAATCCATTAACAGGGAGAGCGAGAGACCAACGTGAAAAAATTACAAAATTCATTCGGTAAGCGTGGACCGATCATGCGACCGTCAAATCTTCATTCTGACGCTCTCCCAACTGAGCATTCCCCACTATTTATCTTTTTTGAAAGAGCATAGAATTTATCATTTAAAAAATACCAACTGGTCTTACTCCGCCGATTGCCTGATTAATAGCGGATCTATTATATATAACGACTATTATATATAACTAGTAAGAAGAGAATAGGCCAATTCCATTAACAGAAAGAGTAGGAGACCAACATGAAAAAATTATAGGGCTCACGCGGTGAGCGTAGATCGAACATGCGACCTTCAGATCTTTAATCTGACGCTCTCTTAACTTAGTTTTCCCCGTTATTAATATCTTTTTTAAAGAGAATAGAATTTATCATTTACAAAATACCAGTTGGTCTTATTCCGCCGATTTTCTGATTAATAGCAGAACTATTATATATAACGACTACTATATATAACCACTAAGAAGAGAATAGGCCAAATTCATTAACAGGGAGAGCGAGAGACCAACGTGAAAAAAATTACAAAGTTCATGTGGTGAGTGCGGATAAAACACGCAACCTTTAGATCTTCAGTCTGACGCTCTCCCAACTAAGTTATCCCCGCTATTAATATCTTTTTGAAAGAGCATAGAATTTATCATTTACAAAATACCAGATGGTCTTGCTATACCGATTCCCCGATTAATAGTGAAGCTATTATATATAACGATTATTATGTATAATAAGACGAGAATAGACCAAATCCATTAACAGAGAGAGCGAGAGACCAACGTGAAAAAAATACAAAGTTCACTCGGTGAGCATGGATCGAACACGCGACCTTGAGATCTTCAGTCTGACGCTTTCCAAACTGAGCTATCCCCGCTATTAATATCTTTTTGAAAGAGCACATAATTTATCATTTCAAAAATACCAGTTGATCTTGCTCCACCGATTACCTGATTAATAGCATAACTTTTATATATAAACAGTAAGAAGAGAATAGGTCAATTCCATTAAAAGGGAGAGCGAGAAACCAATGCGATAAATTTCAAAGTTCAAGCAGTGAGCGTGGATCGAACACGCGAATTTAAGATCTTTAGTCCGACGCTCTACCAACTGAGTTATCCCCACTATTAATATATTTTTAAAAGAGCATAGAATTTATCATTTACAAAATAAAAGCTAGTCTTGCTCCGCCGATTACCTAATTTATAGCGAAACTGTTATATATAACGACTATTATATATAACAAGAAGAGAATAGGCCAAATCCATTAACATGGAGAGCGAGAGACCATCGTGAAAAATTACAAAGTTCATGCGGTGAGCACGGGTCGAACACACAACCTTCAGATCTTCAGTCTAACGCTCTCCCAACTGTGCCTTCCCCGCTATCAATATCTTTTTGAAAGAGCACAGAATTTATCATTTAAAAAATACCAGCTGATCTTGCTCCACCGATTACCTGATTAATAGTGGAACTTTTATATATAAAGACTATCATATATAACCAGTAAGAAGAGAATAAGTCAATTCCAATAACAGGGAGAGCGAGAGACCAACGTGAAAAATTACAGAATTCATGCAATGATCGTGGATCGAACACGCGTCCTTAAGATCTTTAGTGCGATGCTCTCCCAACTGAGCTATCCCCACTATTAATATCTTTTTGAAAGAGCATAGAATTTATCATATACAAAATTCCAGTTGTTATTGTTCCGCCGATTTCCTGATTAATAGCGGAACTATTATATATAACGACTATTCTATATAACCAGTAGAAGAGAATAGGCATATTCCATTAACTGGGAGAGCGAGAGACCAGTGTGAAAAAATTATAAAGTTCATGCGATGAGCGTGAATCGAACACGCGACCTTCAGATCTTCAGTCTGACGCTCTCCCAACTGAGCTATCCCCGCTATTAATATCTTTTCGAAAGAGCACATAATTTATCATTTAAAAAATACCAGTTGGTCTTGCTCCACCGATTACCTGATTAATAGAGGAACTATTATATATAAACAGCAAAAAGAGTATAGGCCAAATTCATTAACAGGGAGAGCGAGAGACCAACGTGAAAAATTACAAAGTTCATACGGTGAGCGTGGATCGAACACGCGACCTTCAGATCTTCAGTCTGACGCTCTCCCAACTGAGCTATCACCGCTAGTAATATATTTTTGAAAGATCATAGAATTTATCAGTTACAAAATACCAGCTGATCTTGCTCCGCCGATTGTCTGATTAATAGTGGAACTATTATATATAAGGACTATTTTATAAAACCTGTAATATTAGAATAGGTTTATTTCATTAGTAGGGAGAGCGAGAGACCAACGTGAAAAAATTATAAAGTTCATGCAGTGAGCGTGAATCGAACACGTGACCTTCAGATCTTCAGTCTGACGCTCTCCCAACTGAGTTATCCCCGCTATTAATATCTTTTTGAAAGAACATAGAATTATCATTTACAAAATACCTGTTGGTCTTGCTCCGCCGATTGTCTGATTAACAATGAAACTATTATATATAATGACTATTATATATAACAAGTAAGAAGAGTATAGGCCAAATCCATTAACAGGGAGAGCGAGAGACAAATGTGAAAAAATTACAAAGTTCATGCTATGAGTGTGGATCGAACACGCGACCTTCAGATCTTCAGTCTAATGCTCTCTCATATGAGTTATCCCCATTATTAATATATTTTTGAAAGGAAATATAATTTATCATTTAAAAAATACCAGCTGGTCTTGCTCCGCCGGTTGCCCGATTAATAGCGGAACTATTATATATAACGACTATTATATATAACCAATAAGAAGAGAATAGGCCAATTCCATTAACAGGGAGAGCGAGAGACCAACATGAAAAAATTACAAAGCTCATGCGGTAAGCGTGGATCGAACATGTGACCTTCAAAACTTTAGTGTAACGTTCTCCCAACTTAGCAATCCCCGCTATTAATATCTTTTTGAAAAAACATAGAATTTATCAGTTACAAAATATCAGTTGGTCTTGTTCCACTGATTGTCTGATTAATAGCGAAACTATTATATATAACGACTATTATATATAACAAGTAAGAAGAGTATAGGCCAAATCCATTAACAGGGAGAGCGGGAGACCAACGTGAAAAAATTACAAAGTTCATGCTATGAGCAAGGATTGAACACACGACCTTCAGATCTTCAGTCTAATGCTCTCTCATATGAGTTATCCCCATTATTAATATATTTTTGAAAGGGTATAGAATTTATCATTTAAAAAATACCAACTGGTCTTGCTCCGCCGATTGCCCGATTAATAGCGAAACTATTATATATAACGACTATTATATATAACAAGAAGAGAATAGGCCAAATCCATCTACAGGGAGAGCGAGAGACCATCGTGAAAAATTACAAAGCTCATGCGATTAGCACGGATCGAACACTCGACCTTCAAATCTATAGTCTGACGCTCTCCTAACTGAGCCATCCCCGTTATTAATATCATTTTGAAAGAGCATAGAATTTAACATTTACAAAATACCAACTGTTCTTGCTTCGCCGATTGCCTGATTAATAGTGGAGCTATTATATATAACGACTATTATATATAACCAGTAAGAACAAAATAGGCATATTCCATTAACAGGGAGAGCGAGAGACCAACGTGAAAAAATTATAAAGTTCATGCGGTGAGCGTGAATCAAACACACAACCTTCAGATCTTCAATCTGACACTCTCCCAACTGATCTATCCACGCTATTAATATTTTTTGAAAGAACATAGAATTTATCATTTACAAAATACCTATTGGTCTTGCTCCGCCGATTGTCTGATTAATAGCGAAACTATTATATATAACGACTGTTATATATAACCAGTAAGAAGAGTATATGCCAAATCCATTAACAGGGAAAGCGAGAGACCAACGTGAAAAGATTACAAAATTCATTCGGTGAGCGTGGATCGATCACGCGACCGTCAAATCTTCATTCTGACGCTCTCCCAACTGAGCATTCCCCGCTATTAATATCTTTTTGAAAGAGCATAGAATTTATCATTTAAAAAATACCAACTGGTCTTACTCCGCTGATTGCCTGATTAATAGCGGATCTATTATATATAACGACTATTATATATAACTAGTAAGAAGAGAATAGGCCAATTCCATTAACAGAAAGAGTAGGAGACCAACATGAAAAAATTATAGGGCTCATGCGGTGAGCGTAGATCGAACACGCGACCTTCAGATCTTTAATCTGACGCTCTCTTAACTTAGTTTTCCCCGCTATTAATAACTTTTTGAAAGAGAATAGAATTTATCATTTACATAATACCAGTTGGTCTTATTCCGCCGATTTTCTGATTAATAGCAGAACTATTATATATAACGACTACTATATATAACCACTAAGAAGAGAATAGGCCAAATTCATTAACAGGGAGAGCGAGAGACCAACGTGAAAAAAATTACAAAGTTCATGCGGTGAGCGCGGATAAAACACGCAACCTTTAGATCTTCAGTCTGACGCGGAGTTATCCCCGCTATTAATATCTTTTTGAAAGAGCATAGAATTTATCATTTACAAAATACCAGATGGTCTTGCTATACCGATTCCCCGATTAATAGTGAAGCTATTATATATAACGATTATTATATATAATAAGACGAGAATAGACCAAATCCATTAACAGAGAGAGCGAGAGACCAACGTGAAAAAAATACAAAGTTCACTCGGTGAGCATGGATCAAACACGCGACCTTGAGATCTTCAGTCTGACGATTTCCAAACTGAGTTATCCCCGCTATTAATATCTTTTTGAAAGAGCACATAATTTATCATTTAAAAAATACCAGCTGATCTTGCTCCACCGATTACCTGATTAATAGCGGAACTTTTATATATAACGACTATCATATATAACCAGTAAGAAGAGAATATGTCAATTCCATTAAAAGGGAGAGCGAGAAACCAACGCGAAAAATTTCAAAGTTCATGCAATGAGCGTGGATCGAACACGTGACTTTAAGATCTTTAGTCCGACGCTCTATCAACTTAGCTATCCCCACTATTAATATATTTTTAAAAGAGCATAGAATTTATCATTTACAAAATACCAGCTGGTCTTGCTCCGCCGATTACCTGATTAATAGCGGAACTATTATATATAACGACTATTATATATAACAAGAAGAAAATAGGCCAAATCCATTAACATGGAGAGCGAGAGACCATCGTGAAAAATTACAAAGTTCATCCGGTGAGCACGGGTCGAACACACGACCTTCAGATCTTCAGTCTAACGCTCACCCAACTGAGCCTTCCCCGCTATCAATATCTTTTTGAAAGAGCACATAATTTATCATTTAAAAAATACCAGCTGATCTTGCTCCACCGATTACCTGATTAATAGTGGAACTTTTATATATAACGACTATCATATATAACCAGTAAGAAGAGAATATGTCAATTCCATTAACAGGGAGAACGAGAGACCAACGTGAAAAATTACAAAATTCATGCAGTGAGCGTGGATCAAACACGCGACCTTAAGATCTTTAGTCCGATGATGTCCCAACTGAGCTATCCACACTATTAATATCTTTTTGAAAGAACATAAAATTTATCATATACAAAATTCCAGTTGGTTTTGTTCCGCCGATTTCCTGATTAATAGCGGAACTATTATATATAACGACTATTATATATAACCAGTAAGAAGTGAATAAACTAAATCCATTAACAGGGAGAGCGAGAGACCAACGTGAAAAAATTACAAAGTTCATGCGGTGAGCTTGGATCAAAAACACGCGACCTTCAGATCTTCAGTCTGGCGCTCTCCCAACTGAGCTATCCCTGCTATTAATATCTTTTCGAAAGAGCACATAATTTATCATTTAAATAATACCAGTTGGTGTTGCTCCACCGATTACCTAATTAATAGCGGAACTATTATATATAACGACTATTATTTATAAACAATAAAAAGAGTATAGGCCAAATCCATTAACAGGGAGAGCGAGAGACCAACGTGAAAAATTACTAAGTTCATACGGTGAGCATGGATCGAACACGCAACCTTCAGATCTTCAGTCTGACGCTCTCCCAACTGAGCTATCACCGCTAGTAATATTTTTTTGAAAGATCATAGAATTTATCAGTTACAAAATACCAGCTGATCTTGCTCCGCCGATTGTCTGATTAATAGTGGAACTATTATATATAACGACTATTTTATAAAACCTGTAATAACATAATAGGTATATTTCATTAGCAGGGAGAGCGAGAGACCAATGTGAAAAAATTATAAAGTTCATGCAGTAAGCGTGAATCGAACACGCAACTTTCAAATTTTCAGTCTGACGCTCTCCCAATTGAGCTATCCCTGCTATTAATATCTTTTTGAAAGAACATAGAATTATCATTTACAAAATACCTGTTGGTCTTGCTCCGCCGATTGTCTGATTAATAACGAAACTATTATATATAATGACTATTATATATAACAAGTAAGAAGAGTATAGGCCAAATCCATTAACAGGGAGAGCGAGAGACTAACGTGAAAAAATTACAAAGTTCATGCTATGAGTGTGGATCGAACACGCGTCCTTCAGATCTTCAGTCTAATGCTCTCTCATATGAGTTATCCCCATTATTAATATATTTTTGAAAGGACATATAATTTATCATTTAAAAAATATCAGCTGGTCTTGCTCCGCCGATTGCCCGATTAATAGCGGAACTATTATATATAACCAATAAGAAGATCTGATCCATGGCACTGTGGAAATTTCCCGGAGCACAACAAAAAGAAAATTTCACATTCAGGCCCGTTGGTCAATGGCACTGTGCTTAGGAAGTCCGGGAAGGAACATGATGATCTTCCTATGTTCTCCTCCAAAGCCAACTTATCGAAATTATCCGGCTTGGTAGCGGCTAGAACTTCGGCTTCGGAAAACCACAAACAGAAACCTGGGGCATCGACTCTAGAAGCAGTAAACCAAGCAGGCAAGGCACGCAGATCATTTAGCGGATTAGAGTCGGCCAGAAAACAGGAAATCAGACATCATACGCCGAAGACAGCAGAATCCCCGCTGCCAGAAGATGGAAGAGCCTGCAATAGGGAATCGAGTCCGGTTAGTTTCTTGACATGTTTTCGACTTCTATTATCTGGACTAAAAATCGGCATTCATGTTTCATATGAATGAACTTCTACTAACTAATGAAAACTGGTGCAGCATGGTGAAGGTCACATCCCCAGGGGAAACAAAATGTACGTATCGGGTCCGTTGCTCGCGCCGTCTGGCAACATGGATCAGATGCTAAAAGAGCATGACCGTAAGATCCAAGAGTTTGCTCGAAGAAAAGCAAGACATGGCAAGAAAAAAGTCTATAAATAAACTTTGCAAATGCAACTACAATTTGCAGACAGCAAATTCATTATTGCTCGTCTCTGCTGGTGGTGAAGCTGGACAATATCAGCTAACATTTGAAGCCCAGAGAGATCATAATCCGATTGTTTATTGCTCCAAAATTGCAATCGATATGTATCTTATAGTTCTGTGTTTGGAAAAAAAAAGTGTGTTAAGGATTATTCGAACTATAATATATATATATATATATATATATATATATATATATATATATATATATATATATATATATATATATATATATATATATATAGATTAGAGTAGAACGGTTTGGAGAATCCATTTACATGAGTAAGGACAATGTATCGTATTATTTTTCTGAACATACTAAGTATCATACTATAAATTAAGTCGAACTTAATCAAACGAATAGAATATTTATAAATAATATAGTCAAGTGTGTATTTTTACTGTCGGCCAAATTTGATAAAAAATTCTAAAATTTCTTTAAAAAATTCCTAATTAATTTTTAAATTTGATAAAAATTCCAATTCAGTTATTGAATTTAGATTCAATTTTTACACAACGATATTACATTTTCTTTATCAAATGAAATTGTATTATACTCTTAAAATAAATGTCGCTTGAACTCATACAAATTAAAAGAATATAAACATTTTTAATTATTCGATCAATTAATAAATCTTAATAATATAACGCTTTGAAACTACGCTTTAAAATTTTAATATATATATGATCTGTGATCCAATATTAAACTTTATACATTTTATAATAAGTTTTTATTATCATTTGTAATATTATAATATTAAAAATATTTAAATTTACAATTTGTACACCTAAATTAATAATAGTGGGATCAAACCTTAGATAATAAAAGATTTTATATCCAATCCATCTCATATGGCCATTGAAAGTATTTTAGTAATACCGATTTTTTTTTATAATTTTAAATATATTTACAGCCTTCTTTTACAAATTTATTTTCCTTAAAATCAATATACGTGTATATATATCCAGATCTTCTTTTAAAAATCTTGATATGTATGAACAGAAAAAATGTGGGAATAGCTCAGTTCGTTAGATTGAAGATCTGAAAGTCACGTGTTTCATCCATGCTTACTACAAGATTTTACATTTTTTTCTTTTTCGTTGGGCTCTATCTCTCTTAGTGGGTATGGGCTATTTTCTTCCGCCTCTTTATGGTCTCTCACAGGTTAAAGTGAAAAAATAGAAGGCGGAAGGAAACATTATTATTTAAAGGCTTAAACTAAATTATTTTTTTTAAAATTCCTAAATTATTTTTTAGTTAAAATAAATCATTAAACTATTATATATAACGACGATTAATAGAACTATTATATATAACTACGATTAATAGCAGAACTATTATATATAACGATTATTATATATAACCACTAAGAAGAGAATAGGCCAAATCCATTAACAGGGAGAGCGAGAGACCAACATGAAAAAATTACAAAGTTCATGCGGTGAGTGCGGATCGAACACGCAACTTTTAGATATTTAGTCTGACGCTCTCCCAACTGAGTTATCCCCGCTATTAATATCTTTTTGAAAGAGCATAGAATTTATCATTTACAAAATACCAGTTGGTCTTGCTCTGCCGATTACCTGATTAATAGCGGAACTATTATATATAACGACTATTATATATAACAAGAAGAGAATAGGCCAAATCCATTAACATGGAGAGCGAGAGACCATCGTGAAAAATTACAAAGTTCATGCGATTAGCACGGATCGAACACGCGACCTTTAAATATATAGTCTGACGCTCTCCCATCTGAGCCATCCCCGCTATTAATATCATTTTGAAAGAGCATAGAATTTAACATTTACAAAATACCAGCTGCTCTTGCTCCGCCGATTGCTTGATTAATAGTGGAGCTATTATATATAACGACTATTATATATATAACCAGTAAGAACAGAATAGGCATATTCCATTAACAGGGAGAGCGAGAGACCAACGTTAAAAAATTACAAAGTTCATGCAGTGAGTGTGAATCAAACACGCGACCTTCAGATCTTCAGTCTGACGGTCTCCCAACTGAGCTATCCCCTATATTAATATCTTTTTGAAAGAGCATAGAATTTATCATTTACAAAATACATGTTGGTCTTGCTCCGCTGATTGTCTGATTAATAGCGAAACTATTATATATAACGACTATTATATATAACAAGTAAGAAGAGTATAGGCCAAATCCATTAACAGGGAGAGCGAGAGACCAACGTGAAAAAATTACAAAGTTCCTGCTATGAGTGTGGATCGAACACGCGACCTTCAGATCTTCAGTCTAACGCTCTCTCATCTGAGCTATCCATATTATTAATATATTTTTGAAAGGGCATAGAATTTATAATTTAAAAAATACCAACTGGTCTTGCTCCATCGATTGCCTGATTAATAGCAGAACTATTATATATAACGACTATTATATATAACCAGTAATAAGAGAATAGGCCAATTCCATTAACAGGGAGAGCGAGAGACCAACATGAAAAAATTACAAAGCTCATGCGGTAAGCGTGGATCAAACACGTGACCTTCAAATCTTCAGTCTAGCACTCTCCCAACTGAGCAATCCCTGCTATTAATATCTTTTTGAAAAAGTATAGAATTTATCAATTACAAAATATCAGTTGGTCTTGCTCCACTGATTGCCTGATTAATAGCGAAACTATTATATATAACGACTATTATATATAATTGGTAAGAAAAGTATAGGCCAAATCCATTAACAGGGAGAGCGAGAGACCTACGTGAAAAAATTACAAAGCTCATGCGGTGAGCGTGGATTGAACACGCGACCTTCAGATCTTTAGTCTGACGCTCTCCCAACTGAGTTATCCCCGCCATTAATATCTTTTTGAAAGAGCATAGAATTTATCAGTTACAGAATACCTGTTGGTCTTTCTCCACCGATTGCCTGATTAATAGCGAAACTATTATATATAACGACTATTATATATAACCCATAAGAAGCGTATAGGTTAAATCTATCAACAGGGAGAGCAAGAGACCAACGTGAAAAAATTACAAAGTTCATACGGTGAGTGTAGATTGAACACGCGCTCATTAAATCTTCAATCTGACGCTCTCCCAACTGAGCTATTCCTGCTATTAATATCTTTTTGAAAGAGCATAGAATTTATCAGTTACAAAATACCAGCTGTTTTTGCTCCACCGATTGCCTGATTAATAGTGGAACTATTATATACAACGACTATTTTATAAAACCAGTAAGAATAGAATAGGCATATTCCATTAATAGAGAGAGCGAGAGACCAACGTGAAAAAATTATAAATTTCATGCGGTGAGCGTGAATCGTACACACGACCTTCAGATCTTCAGTCTGATGCTCTCCCAACTGATCTATCCCTGCTATTAGTATCTTTATAAAAGATAATAGAATTTATCAGTTACAAAATACCAGTTGGTCTTACTCCACCAATTACCTGATTAATAGCGAAACTATTATATATAACCAGTAAGAATAGTATAGGCCAAATCCATTAACAGGGAGAGCGAGAGACCAACATGAATAAATTACAAAATTCTTCTGGTGAGCGTGGATCAAACATGCGACATTCAGATCTTCAGTCTGATGCTCTCCCAACTGAGCTATCCCTACTATTAATATCTTTTTGAAAGAGCATAGAATTTATCATTTAAAAAATACCAGCTGATCTTGCTCCACCGATTACCTGATTAATAGCGGAACTTTTATATATAACGACTATCATATATAACCAGTAAGAAGAGAATAGGTCAATTCCATTAACAGGGAGAGCGAGATACCAACGTGAAAAATTACAAAGTTCATGCAGTGATCGTGGATCAAACACGTGACCTTCAGATCTTCAATCTGACGCTCGCTTAACTTAGTTTTCCCCGCTATTAATATCTTTTTGAAGGAGAATAGAATTTATCATTTACAAAATACCAGTTGGTCTTGTTCCGCTGATT